AGTCTCCGATGCTATTCTGGTTACTTTTTTTTCCTTGCGACGTGCTAACGAACATGCTAGACTACGCGATTCATCGTCACCGAATCCAGATGCAGAAGAGCCGTCAGACCGCACAATATCCCCACGCACCTTTTCCTCAACCATTGCCTACGCCTTCCAGCTAGCCACTGCCCAAGGTCCCTGCTGCGCGGAGCCCGTCCAAGGCATCGCCGTCTTTTTAGAATCCGTGACGCTGAACCTGAGCGAAGACGAAGGCGCACAGCAAGACCGCGGCCGCCTAACGGGCGAAGTCATCAAAGCAGTGCGCTCATCCATCCACCAGGGCTTCCTCGATTGGTCCCCCCGCATGCTGCTCGCAATGTACAGCTGCGAAATCCAAGCTTCGACTGATGTGCTGGGTCGTGTCTACGCCGTCCTGACCCGTCGGCGGGGTACCATTCTCAGCGAAACTCTGTCATCAACTTCATCCGCATCCACGACGGGATCGCAAACATTTACCATTAATGCGCTCCTCCCCGTTGCCGAATCTTTTGGCTTTAGCGACGAGATCCGCAAGAGGAGTTCGGGCTCGGCGTCTCCGCAGCTCCGCTTTGCAGGGTTCGAGATGCTCGACGAAGATCCCTTCTGGGTCCCTTTTACGGAAGATGAGCTTGAAGATTTGGGTGAGTTGGCAGACCGCGAGAATGTGGCCAAGAGGTATGTGGATAAGGTGAGAAAGCGCAAGGGACTCCGTGTTGCGGGCGAAAAGGTTGTGGTTGATGCGGAGAAGCAGAAGACTCTGAAGAGGTAAGTAAGGTATGTGTTTAGTCTGGGTATGGAAACGCTTTTTTTCTAAAAAGGAAAACAATGTTATTGGAAAACGGGATGTATCATTATGAACGACGCAATGAGATTCTTCTGATTCAATCAAAGCTTCTGTCGTAGATGCTTGACGTTGTTCTCCATTTCTCATTTCAAGAGAAGACCAACAGCGAATACTAGAATTTGAAAAATAAATAAATCGATAAACATATGCCTTTCCCCTTTTATTGGTAAGAAATGGACCTTGTCCAGTGTGCCATTACCATTTTCTTCCTTCTTCATACCTATCATGATTCATGCAAAAATTCCATGAAGGAACACTTCCCCTAATCAAACCTTACTTGATCCAGAAAAAAAAACCCCAAAACTTCTCGAGAGACAAAAAAGTAAGAAAAAAAAGATAAACAAGAACCAACGTATTTGATTTTACGCACTGCCAGGCGGACCCCCCATGTTCAACAAAATATCCAACATGTCCATGCCTCCAATATCCGGTCCCATGGCCGTCTGATTAATCTCTGCACCCCACTGGTCCAGCAGTGGGTCTAGGGGTAGAGCAAGCCAGTCTTGGTCATGGCCAGTACCCCAGCCACCACTACCGTTGTTTGCCCACTGACCCCATTGCGTGCCATTGGCTCCATTCGAGTTTGAGCCATTGCTGTTGCTGTGGTTGTTGCCGTTGGTGTTTGCAGAGAAGTTAGTGTAGTTGCCTGGCGGAGGCATAATGGATATACTGTTTGAGTTTGGATCGTATGGCTCTGATGAGATGCCCCAGAGAGGAGTTGCGCGCCCACTTGTACTCAGTCCCATGCTGGGTGATCCGGGAACGCTGGTGCCAGATGCTGAGAAGCCCGTTTGCTGAGATCCCATGTATGGTGGTGCGAGATGGTTGGTGTTGTTGAGCGCAGACGGTGGAGGCATCATTGGTGCTTGGACCGGACTCTTGCTGCCGGCTCGGGAAATACCAGTTGACCCATTAGCAGTAAGGCGCACGAACCGAGAACGGATACGATGGGTCAATGTCTCAACCAGGTCGGCAAAGCGGTTGCCAACATGCACGTCGTCCACGATGCTTGTTCGCAATGCGTCAACGGAACTGCTGAGTAGGCCCAGACTAACAGCAACATCTTCTTCTGTTGCACCCAGTGCAAATGTCTTGAGCAGAATGATGGCTACACTGACAATACGGAAGAAGGTGCGCACAGGTGCATGTCGTAAATAGCCCCCCGGATGGAGGCCATCAACGACAACCTTGAGCACGTTGCGGGACGCATCGATGACTTCGTTGATGTAGTGACGGTCGTTGGCATACCACTTGACCAGCGTGCTAAAGGGTATTGCCCCGCCATCCTCATTGCTGTTGGCAGCACGGCCATTGACGCCATTTGGCTGGGCATGTGTTTGAAGTGGCGTATTGTGTGTACAGCGTTCCACGACGGCTTGTAAGGCTAGCGAGTTAAGGTAAACACGTGTATACTCGAACTCAATAATGAGAACGTGTCGGAGCTGAGTAGGTACTATCAAAAGTCAGACGCGAAGTAGTCAAGCACGCGAGTCAAGCAGCACATACCTTGAGGCGCTCGATCAAAGCATTTTCTCCACTCTGCCAGAGGCCCTTGGAAGAACTTGAGCATCTCTTCGTACGTGCCCGTCTTGAGCAGCTCGCGCGTCTTGCGCCGGTTTGAAAACAACTTGAGGTTACCCATCTCCATAATCTTGGCAATGCGTTGCCAAAAGTCAAGTACAAGATCCTGGATGGCATGGCGCTCCTGGGTGGCGATGGACTCGAGCGGAAGACGCTGTCCGTCTGAGCGCATGCCAAACTGAGCTGGAGGAGCCTTGATGCGACTGATGCGGTCCTTGTATAGTTCTAGTGGTGAAGGAGCGCCGGCAAGGCTTTCGTCGCGATCAATCTTGGGAAGCATGGACGTCAGGCCTAACCTGCCGCTGGTCTGCGTGACGTATATAATGAGAAGATCACGCAAATGGTTTTTCCGGCGGTAATAGGCCTTGACTGTGGCATGCGACAAGTGCTGGTTGGCTTCCTCGAACTCAGTCTCGTTGGTTTCGTCAAAGACACCAATCTCAAAGGCAAGCGTCATGGCGTTACCAAGCAACATCCAGCACATGCGATCGCTACGCCAGCACGGCTCAAGCCAGCTGTCGATACGCTTGTCGCCCACCTCTTTGTACATGTCGGCTTTGGGACCAGACTCATACGGATCGTCGGGCAGAACAAGCTCATCGTCGTCATCGCCGGGCGGAAAATGGAGGGCGCGCGGATGCCATTCTGTGAGCAGCATCAAGCTCTCGACGGTGCCGAGTGTTCGAAGACCCTTGCGCGACAGAGGGTTCACGTCAGATCCAGGTTGCTGTCCAGCACCGCAGAATCCGCCGCCAAACTGCTCTTGACCAAAGATCATACGATCTATCATGCCTTGCAGGTACTTCCATAGCTTCTCATGAATGAGATACGACCTGGACGTGGCTCCAACACCGCTGGATCCGCTGGGCTGTGAATAGCGAGCCGAGATTGTCAGGAGGGTGATGACAAGCATAGGCTCCTCCCTGAGCAGCTTTGCGTGGAAGGCATGGTCGCGGTAGTCTGGCACGACAATGGGAGTGAGGGGGGATAGAAAGGCGTAGAAGTAGTCAATGTAGGCAATGGCTTCTTTTGCGGTAAGCCAGCCGGCGCGAACAAAGCGGAACTTGGACCAGGCGCGGACGGCGTCTGCAAAGGCGGCTTCGTTGGGGGGATCCGGCAACAAGGGCTGCTGGATAGCAGGGTCGACAGAGGGCTCAGCAGTAGGGCGCGAGTTTGTGCGGGCATGTGACTGGTTGGGGCGGGGGCTGGCGAAGTTTGTCTGGGAGCCTGGGGTGCTGCCGAGGTTGGGGCGCTGGAGACTGGAGCTGCTTCCGGTGCGGTGGTGTGCGTTCATGCCGGCCGCCTCGAAGAGCAGGTTGAGGGCGTCGTGTCCGCTGTAGACCTCGCCCGTCTGCAGCGTGGCCAGCGTCTCGTTGTTTACCTTCTGGTCCTCGTCGTCATTGTGCTGCGACGACTGGCCGGCCGAGGTGTTTGGGCGGCGCAGAGGCTCGTAGCGACCAATGGAGCCGCCGGGGGTCAAGGGCTGGGAGATGTAGGCGGCTGAGTTGGCCGTGGTGATTGTGAGGGGCTCCTGCACGCCATCGGAGCGCTGACGCTTGCGGGCATTGCGGATCTCGTAGTCGTCGGCTTCGTCATAGTCGTCGCCGTCGTCGGTCTTTCTCTTGCGGCGCGTGGCAGAGAAGAAGCACTCCTTGCTCTCGCGGCGGCAGCGCACACATGGCGGGTCGTGGGGATTGTCGACGGGGCCGAGATCTAGAGGCCGCGAGGGCAGTATCAGCAAGCAGCAGTGGGCAGGCGGGCGGGTGGTGGTGGTGATGGCGAGGACATACCGCAGCGGACCTTGCGGCGGCGGCAGGGGATGCAGGCCTGGTAGGTGCGAGTGTGCTGGGCCGTGGCAGTGTGGGAGCGAGCTGGTGGAGACGTGTTGGAGGCAGCCGTGGACATGTTTGGTGGTGGACTGGACTGGACTGGACCAGACAGTCGTTCGGTCGGCTTGCGACGGCTGAGACGAGTGGCTGCGGTGGCTCGTCAATGGCTCCGCATGGGTACCTGCATGGGCCTGGCCTTGGGCATGCGGGGTATGGGTGGGCACACGGTGGTAGTCGAGCTTGCAGTAACGCCGATAGGAGCGTGTCGTCTTGGACAGTGAGGACGTCTGCGTGTGTATGTGAAGGCTGCGCGCGGTGGCTGTCGGTACCATGCGTGCGTGCATGCATGCATCTTTCGACTACCCGCCCCCGTCCATACACGCGCACCAACATACGGCCTCGCACCGGATTGGGAGCCGCCCGCCCGCCCCAGTCACGAGCGCGGGGCGTTGGCAGCCACTTCAGGCCTGGCGCAAGCACTCGGCCAATCCCACCCAATTGCCGAAACTGCAGGCCTCAAAGTCCACTCTTTTCACAATCATGCACAGCAAAGCGCGTTTTTGGATACTGCACATCCATACTAGGAAACAGGGGTGAATGCTTGGTCATGTGCGCGCGCGGCTGGACCAAGCTCAGATGTTATCAAATGATGGGGCAGGCAGCTAGCGCGCGGCCCGTGCGCAGCCTTGACATCAACCATCATCCATTGCTGGCACCATAGCTGTGCACTTGCTCACCGTACCTGCGCCCCCAAACCCCATCTCCCTTGCTCGCTTCCTCGAGACGACATCTCCCAGAGCTGCACGACCCGTCACCGACCACCGGCCTTCTCGCCATACAACCCCGCATCATTCAGACTCGGCTTGACGTCGCAGACTGCTGAGCTTCGCGCCTTGAGTCAATTGCGCACTCCCCAGTCTTCACACGCTCCACATACTCTGTCCACCATGGCTTCAAGAAAGAAGGTCCTCCTCAAGGTACTCGGGCTTATCAGAATACATCCAACGACTGCTAATGCGCCTAGGTCATTATCCTCGGAGACAGCGGGGTCGGCAAAACGAGCTTGATGAACCAATATGTACGAAACTCTTCCCGTCCAACTCTCGACCGACAAGGCTGCTGCCCGAGTCCTCATCGCAGTGCTTATACAAAGTGACCAGGTCAACAAGAAGTTCAGCGCAAGCTACAAAGCAACCATCGGCGCCGATTTCCTGACCAAGGAAGTGCTCGTTGACGACAGGCTCGTCACCATGCAGGTGCGTATGCACTGGCTGTCCCAGTGGACAAGAGGCTAACGGAACCAAGCTTTGGGACACGGCCGGCCAGGAGCGCTTCCAATCGCTGGGCGTTGCCTTTTACCGTGGCGCCGATTGCTGCGTGCTCGTGTACGACGTGAACAATTCCAAGAGTTTCGACACCCTCGATAGCTGGAGAGACGAGTTTCTTGTCCAGGCCAGCCCCATGGACCCAGAGAGTTTCCCATTCGTAGGTGGACATGCACGATACAGCAACAGGCCAGCTACTGACCAACGCAGGTCGTCATTGGCAACAAGATTGATGTGGAAGAAAGCAAACGCATGGTGAGTGCGAATCATGCCTGCCGTCTTTGAACGCGTCTGATAGACAAGCAGATTTCGTCCAAGCGCGCCATGGCCTTTTGCCAATCAAAGGGCGGCATTCCTTACTTCGAGACGAGCGCCAAGGAGGCCATCAACGTTGAACAAGCTTTTGAAGGTACTCGAAGCCTCTTTACTCCAAAATCCTGCTTCCAGTAGCTAACATGCCTAGTCATTGCACGACAAGCTTTGGCGCAAGAAGACGTCGGCGATTTCAGCAACGACTTCCCCGAGACGATCCCGATTGATCTCAAGGGAAACGAGGGTGGTTGTGCATGCTAGTGAACACGTTGACAGAATGGGCATGGCCGATAGCAAGATTAGTGGATATGTTTATGCCGAAACGCCGCCTTGCATGTGGAGTTGATATGGCGTCTGGTGTTTTGGCATAATTTTTTTGCGGCAGAAGCATTTTCTGCAACGTATTCTTTTTGACGGATTTCATCGTTTGCAAGTCTATGTAGCTGCATATACTCAATACACAATACAAACACCTCGGCTACACGAGTGTTGCAGGTCGTGTCGATAGTTGGTGAAAGCATGACCGCGTGGCTTGGGCCGAATAGCCGCAGCGGCGTCGGCAAGCCACACCAACCGTGGGTGGCTACTATAGCGGGCCGTGACCACGCCCACCTGAGACAAGAGGGCTAATGAAACCCCCGAATCGACACAATACTTCGCATCTGTCCGCGTGTCCCTCCGAATCGCTCCGTGCAACTTCACCTGCCACCCTCCTGGCTTCTGCTTGTTCACTGATCAATTGATGGGCACTTGGATCCTGTTTCATGCGTCGACGCAATCTCCAACCCTGACTCCGTTTATCCCCGAGGACCCTCCCTGACCGACTTGCGCGCAATCACACGAGCACACCTGCCATAGTCTCTACCACTTCTCTCCGCCATGATACCCCGGCGAGAAGAGCTTGTCGAACCGACGCCCGCTAGCCCGCGCATCAGCGATGTCTCTGACGAGAGTGCGTTTATGCGATCCGAAGACTATCTCGACAGTCCCGCGACCGAAGCCAGCCAGTGGATGGATGGGAAGGATAAAATGGGAGCATGGTCAGGCAAGGTCAGACACGCCATCGGCATAGCATTCTTACTTGCGACCGTGTTTCTATGGACTGCGAGTAATTTTCTGGCCAGCGTACGTTTCTCTTCCACATAATACGACATGCCGCAATGTCGTGGCATCTCGACTGACGTACAAACAGACTATTTTTGCAGACAACTCCTATTCGAAACCCTACTTCGTAACCTACGTAAACACATCATTCTTCATCTTCCCGCTACTACCTATGCTCATGCACTACCTATGGAGCGACTACCGCCAATCAGATACTGCGCGCCAGCCTCGACAGCCGTTCCTCACACACTTTTACAATCTTCTGCAACGAAGGACAGGGAAATGGACACTACTCCGCGAACACGAATCCAATTCTTCGTTGGTACCTTCGCACGAGTCCAGGAACGATGAGGCGACCGAAGTATTGCTCTCATCGTCAGCCCCAGGATCCCTGAACCTCGGTAGCGGAAAAGATGTGGGACATGTCATAGACGAAGGATTGACCCTACGCGATACAGCCAAACTAGCTCTCGAGTTCTGCATCCTCTGGTTTCTAGCAAATTACTTTGCGGCAGCCTGTCTCGAGTACACGACCGTTTCCAGCTCTACCATCCTGTCTTCCACATCGAGCATCTGGACACTTCTGCTCGGTTCCATCATGCGTGTGGAGCGCTTCACCATGCTCAAGCTTGTCGGCGTTCTCGCATCCCTAAGTGGTGTCGTCCTGATATCTCTGGTCGATGTATCCGGCAACACGGACGAAAATCGGGGTACCTTTCCTCACAAAACGCCGCGCGAACTAGCCATTGGCGACATCATGGCGTTTGTTTCGGCCGTTCTCTACGGCTTCTACACTGTCTTCATGAAGGCCAAAATCGGAGACGAGACAAAAGTCAATATGCCGCTTTTCTTTGGACTGGTGGGGTTGGCGAATGTCGTGCTTCTCTGGCCTGGTTTCATCATCCTCCACCTTACCGGTATCGAGCAGTTTGAACTCCCGCCCACGACGCGCATTCTCAACATTGTTCTCATCAATAGCGCATCATCGCTTGTGTCGGACTTTTGCTGGGCCTACGCCATGTTCCTCACGTCTCCTCTCGTTGTTACCGTTGGTCTCAGCCTGACGATTCCGTGTTCCTTGGTCGGCCAGATGCTGCTGGATTCGCAGTACGCGAGTGCCTTGTACTGGGTGGGTGCTGCCATCATGGTGCTTTCGTTCCTCTTCATCAATCATGAAGACAGAAAGGATGAGGTGCAGGCTTCGGCGGATACGAGCGCACGCGGTAGTTTTCACAGCGTGCGACAAAGTTTGAGTCGGCGTAACTCTCGGTCTGAAGTATGAGCCCATTTTTCTTTCAGAGGGCATTTGCATTGCATTTATCGCTGTTGCCTACGAATTCAAGGCACAGTAGGGTGTTGGATCTTTTTCTTTTAAATAGATAGATAGGGTGCAGGGTAGGGTATTTGTCATATACTTTTTCTTTGTCGTTTTCTATCTGCAGAATAGATATCAACCAATATCATTATTATTATACGACTAAATCCTTCTCGCCATGCTCGCTATTCCTTGTTTCCCCCGTCCATGTTTTTGGAGTACTGATTCCGCGAGTACTTGCCTTTACCCTTGTTCCACTTATTCTTGCCGCCCCCACCACCACCCCGATAGCTCCTCTCGCGATCCTCATCCTTCCTCTCACTCAGACGCTCTTTCTTCTTCTGCTGCCACGTCTCGTCATCTTCCAACTCTTCGGCCTCCCACCCTTCTTTTTCCATGAATTCCTCAAGCTGTTGCTGTAGCTGTGGTTCCCATTTTTCTGCAGACTCAAAGTCGGAGAGTTCGATCACGTTTTGGCCGAGTGTGTAGGCGCCTTGGCGTGAGCGGATCAGCGAGGACATGAGGCCTAGGGAGGAGCAGGCGAGTCCTAGGTCGTGGCAGAGAGAGCGAACGTAGAAGCCTGATGTGACGGTCATACGGAGCCGGGCTGCTGGGGGTTGTGGTGGTGCTTGTGTGGATGTGGTTGGGTGCTCGCTTGATGCTTGTACCTGATTTACTACTTCTGCCTGCTCGGATGAGGGTTCTGGATTGCTCTTGGTTGGTAGTGATGAATCAGTAGCTGTTTTTGTAGTCTCATCCTGGATTGTCTCGGCTGTCTCCGTTGGGGTATCTTGTGATGGCAAAGCACCAGATATTGCTGGCTCTGTCTCTGACTTGGGCATCTTTGGCTGCTTCCCAGCGCCTTCTACACTATCGCTCTCGGGCGAACGCGATCTTTTCCGTCCCTTCCGCGCCATGATGTTGGCATGGATCTTTGCATCTTCCTCTCTAATACCAAGTAGCTTTTTCGCGCCCTCCATCTCGACACCATCGACCTCTTCCTTTGGCCACGCATATTTATGGCTTCCTGGTTCCAGCCACTCAACAAGCTCCAGCTCCTCCACTTCTACAGGTCGCGCAGCTACCTCGGGTATCTCCTTACCCTCTCTTGCGTATTCGTACATTTTCTTGCCGTCAACCTTGAGCGCTGAAAAGACACTTGGTTTCTGCATAATCTTGCCACGGAACTGCGCCAGTTTCTCTTCTACCAGCTCTTTTGTGACATGTTCATATGGCGCCTTGCTAACTACCTTTCCAACGGCGTCATAGCTGTCTGTAGCGGCACCAAAGAGCACCACGCATTCATACGTCTTTGTGCATTCCAGAAAGCGTTGCAGGCACTTCGTGCCTCTTCCCAACCCGACAATCAAGACACCAGTAGCCATAGGATCCAGGGTACCGCCGTGACCAAGCTTTACCTTGAGATTGTTGATATGCTTCTGTTTTGCGTGCGACAGGATGAGCGACCGTTTCTGGCTCTCAAGCCAAGGCGCGAGGAGAGAGGAACGAGCAAAGTGCTCTTGCAGGTCGCGTAGCACGCCGGCTGAGGAGGCCCATTGCGTTTTGTTGACGGCGAAGATACCCTCGAGCACCTTTCTCTTGCCCTCTTTAGGAGAAGTAGCCATGACTGTGGCTGCGCGTTTGACCGACGATGCGACGGACATCAACGGTTGGAGGAAGGTCAGCTCGAAAGCTCCACGCACGCAGTGAAAATCCCCCGATCGTTCTTCCAAGAATAACGCAACAAGGACAGTATCCGAAGTTTACGGCAGAAGTATGATTGTCTTGATGATGATTTGTAACCACCCCTGCAGCTGTCCCGCAACCACGACTGTTGTTGCACACCGTTGACGCTGTCCAGTTTTTTTTTAATTCCGAAGATATGGCGTCGGAAGCTACAATGGACCCAGACCTAAACGGGTATAATGGCTGCCTGGGAATCCCTGCAAACGCAAAAAGCGCGCTAGTGGAAGCGCTAGTGCGCATCTCTCTCATTTGCCTAACCCTTCCCTTCTCTTATATGTGGCTCTCCATCGTCGCTCGAGCGCATAGACTACTAAAACATCGGTAGTTGTCGCGTCACACTTCCAAAATGTCAGACAATAGAGAACTGCAGGATCTTGCAAAGTCCACTACGGATGACTTCTACGACCTACTCAACGTAGCCTTCGACGCAGATGCAGACGCCATCCAGAAAGCATACCGCAAAGCATCTATCAGATACCATCCAGATAAGAATCCCGACGACAAGAACGCTGCTGATCGCTTCATTCTCCTGGGATGGGCACGCGACATTCTTATTGATGAAAACCTCAAAGGCGAGTATGATCGCGCACGAGCTAGGCGGCGCGAGAAGGTGCTGCAGGACGAGATGCTGGATGGCCGACGACGCAAGCTAAAAGAAGACCTTGAGAGAAGGGAGAAAGAGTATCAAGATCAGAAGTCTGGTATCAAGAGAAAGGTTCCCGAGCATATGACCGAGACTGAACGGAAGCTTCATGAAATACACAAAGGTGATAGGAAGCGTTACCACGAAATCAATGAGCGCCTGGCAAAGGAAGACCAAGAAGAGCGAGAGGCCTATCTTGAGGCCATGAGAAAGAGATCAGAACCACAGGGAACCCAGCAGAGCGAATCTTCCGAAATGATTCGCGCGGTCAAATTTGAATTTCCGAGAGAAGGGGATGGAGAGCACTGGGACAAGGATACGCTTGCAACCATGTTCTCAAAGTATGGCGAGGTGGACATGGTTGTACTGCTCAAAGACAAAAAGATCCGACATGCGGGAGAAAAACATCGTATAGCTTCAGGCATGATAGTTTTCACACGCGTCGATCACGCCCACGCCGCCGTCATGAACGCCAAATCCGATTACCCGGCCCTCAGCTCTGTGAACCGGGCAACCGGCGAACCCGATTCCATCAACGTGTCCGCCAAAGATCCCCTGGACGAATCAGAGCGTCAGGAAGTGTTGGCCAACATGAAGTCGGACGAGTTAAATAGGACGTGGACTGGTGAGTGGGTGGCTGCGGGAACTTGGCAAGGGAAACCAATCATGATACCCAAGCCTTCGTCTTTTCCGAAAAGGCAGAATCAGAAGCTTCATGCAGACAGAATGGAGGTTAATTGAGCTGAGGAAGGTAGTCCTATCCTCCCTAGCCTCCCATATCCTCATAGCTTCCTATCCTCAGCGGGAAAGCAAGTCACGTGATTCCCATCCCACGATGATCATGGCCTTCTGACGTGCACTTCCCTAGGCGTTCAGCCTTCTCGTCCTTTGCCAAGAATTTAGTACTTCCTGTCACCTGTAACACATGCTTGCGAATACAACACCACCGAAATGGATTCCAGATCGCTTGTCAATGCGATTTGATGGTCGTTTTCATCATCTTTACGGGGAAAGGGGGCATGGATTCCCTTGGTTCTGCTAGATCATTCTTCTCTATGCTGTATGATAACTATATCTGGCGATGAAAATATTCAGTATGAAATTATTCAAATCTGATCACGCCGTGACAGATGCGTGTTGGGTTGTTGGCGCGCAATATGACATGGTACCACCAGGCTTTAACCCGTCGCATGAGACGGATGATAGATAATTATGGTTTATTTTTTCTCGAGTATGGAAGAACGACCCTTTGCGAATAATCAGGTCATCCCTTACCAGGTAATTGTTATCGTGCGAGAGAACAGTAACTACCATCTATCTGGTGCGATCAGACCATATGTTAGGTCCTTGTTCCAGTCGTTTGTTGTGTAACGTCACTCGATACTGGTATTTGATCAATTGTTGCCGGATACCCGATTCTAGTAGAGGACGCGGCCAATCACGCCGAGGCTTACATCACTCTTACGTATGCGTGAACACACTTTGATACAGGTCTTCACACGAATATCACGCTCTATTGACAGTGTTTCGGTAGAAATGCTCTCATAGTTCTATAAGCATCTGCTCAGAACATCAGAAGCCCGCTGGTCAACTTATGTACAGGATAAAATTTGGAAGTTACTTGAACGTAGCAAGAGACGGCGTAGCGCCCTCCTAAAACGCAGAAATGTATTTACTCGTGCTGATAATTGACGATACAAAGGGTCGGAAGCATGTTCGAAATAAGCAGCTGTGTCACATTGCATGGGCGTCACAATCTTAGTCGAGCCTGTTATTTGGTCTGGACCAATTCAGAACGTACAGTTTCAAAGTTTGGTAACATCAGAACTCAATCCTCAATGCCGGAAAGCTCAGATGCGGAAAATTAAACCGTTTCACCCTGCATCAAGTGCATTCAAAATGCCTATGCGAATAGAATAGGCTACATGCAGTTATAGACTCTCTGGTCAGCTCTATGCCCTAGGGCAAAACTATTATCTTATTGAGTAGCTATTACTCCTTCTCCTAGATCTTTTTATTGATTCAATTCCTCGCTTCTGCTCGATGTTCCTTACAATGGAAAAATGACATGTTTCTTTTCTGGATTACTTTCTCCAGCAAGCAGGATTTCAGCAAGAATAAATCGTCTTGTTCAGATGCACAATATTCTGCCACGGTCTATGGCATGCTAATACCACCTCTGCATAGAATTTTTAAATATTCATTTCGTGGAGCAGGTATAAGTTAGTTACTTGTTCAAAAGAGCAGTGGCAAATCCACCATTACCCACGAACATAGTAAGCAAAGGTATAGCTGCTGTACCACATCAGGGAATTCGATAAGCATGAGAGTCATATTGGAGAATCCTCTGGTAAGGTTGGGCTCACTATCAACAATGATATCGCATGCGTCGTCATTTTTCACGGTACAAGGACGGTCTCGCTAGCAAGTGGGTCCCCGAAACATATATTCAACAATATTAGCACCAGAAATTCTGCGTGTTGCTCGATTGATCATTTTACAAATCTGATACATGGGGGAATGGACACCCATATGTTGGTCCATATAGCTGCATTTACTCTGGCGTCCCTCATTCTCATAAATCTAGCCTTACATTGAATCACAACATTCATGTTAAAGTAACTGCATCGAGAATAAGGGATCTGCACCCAATTGAAAACATGACGTTCAAAATGATGGGAAATGAAATAACATTCGAGAACAGAGGAGCCTCGACCAGTCACGCCAAGACGAATAACTTGATGGCTCCAAAATCAGCCTTAGCCTATGTAATGCCCAGTGTCAATTTACATCCTTGTTTGAACTGTGTATGGCCAGGCAGCATTATCGTACGAAAATTAGAAAACCAAAGTACAGTGGTTCGATGTACTACGTACTGACGTCATCACGTGTTTCGCGATGTCTAGAGGGTAACTCACAGTCAACCACAACAAGTGACGACGATGACGCCGCGGTGACGAGTATCAGGTGAGCAAACAATTGCAGGCTTTGTTTGTGCGACGATCTCATCCGTCGAGATACAAAAAGCACTTGCTTGACGCCCACCTCCTCCAGCAAGACAAGTGAGCAGCAAAGGGCAAATATCTTCTTTTGCCTTTGTCGTAACACGATCTCGAAAACTCCACACTCAATTTTACAATGGCCCATCACCAGCGCCCAATTTATGGCCCTGCCGACTACCCCGTCGCAGGAAAACGCGAGGAAACAGGTCTTTTGACGCGCTTCGTGCCCGACAGATTGAAGGCGACGGCCTTGTACCGCTGGATCTTACGCTTCACTCGCCTCCTACAATTCATTTCCTCCGTCATTTCTCTCGGAATCTTCAGTCAGCGCCTGTATAAGGTATACCGCCTAGTTAATAGTATCAAGACCCGTCGCGGCGTCAACGGCGCATATGGTGCTGTTGAAGGCATTCTCGCCGCCGCCGTACTGTACACGCTTATCACCGTGCTTCTATCATGCATCAAGAAGTCTGCCAACCCCGGAGGAAGGAAGCTACGATGGTCCTGGGTTCTTCTCGATCTCTTGTTTGTCGGAGCGTTCATTGCAGTCGCAGTGCTAACCCGTCCAAATGGCGGCCGCGCTGGCGCCAGGCACTGCTATAACCCCAGGCGTCTAGTCGGTGGTGATAGCTCAAGTAATATCACCGGTGAGACGGCGAATAGACGCGATGATTCTTGCAACCTGCCGTGGGGCACGTTCATCTTGGCTATCATTAGCACGTGAGTTTTTGCTTTGACTTGACCCTTTCTTTTCTGCGTTTTTACTGACTGTGATTCTAGGCTTCTTCACGCGCTCACTGCCGCATTCCACGAGATTAAGGACTACCGTCGCAGAGACAGGCTTGACCACGAGAAGAACCTCCAGAACCAGTACGCCGCTGGCCAACCTGGTGCGCCTGGCGCGCCTGGCGGTTCGCATACTGTTCGTTACTAAGCGTGCGATGGGAATGATCCGGAATATGTAAACGTAACAACGAAGGGAAAGCATAGGCGTTCGGGTCCTGTACAATACACCTTGAAGTAACCTCATGAGTAATGATTAATGAGGGTGGCTGTCCATGTAGAATACAAATTTTGGGAATTTTACAATCGATCCGCGCATCGTTCCTCTGGCAAAACGTATGACCTTTACCAAGCCGTATATAATGGCGAAAATGCCAAGGTCACGTGTCTCATTGTATATGACAGAGATGTCAATGCTCATAGCAAGTGCAAAATTATATCTCTCCAACTCACAATACATGGAGACCTTCCGGATATCTTCCAGTGTCCGTCCGTCCAAAGTAGCGGGAACAGAACGTATAACGAGCCAAAATCGATCCAGTGCTTCCATAACAGCGTCAGGATTTGCTTCTGCCTCTTTGAGTTTGGTGAGTCCCTTCTTTACTCCGTCGGTGATGTTGTTGAGCAACTTTGACTACTGTTCATCCGATCTATGGCCATAATATGTTCTGTAAATTGTATAGCCCCAGTACACTAAGAAATGCCCATACTCGTCTTCCTGATCGAATTCTTGGATCATGGGAATATGAAGGACGGGGTCCAGACATTCTGTGATAGTTTGCATAGCGTTAGAAACGATATGCTCAGGATGATCGGTACAAGATTATAAGTTTGAGTGGGTGTTGGCAGGCGTGCTTCCCTCTTTATACCGGCCACATTGGTGAATATGAAGGGATAAGTAAAAGTAATCCTTCGTGCACGTTGAGACGATAGCGTGCCTGTTGCCTGTGCCGCTGTGCGCTAGCGCCGAAACCCTTGCCTTCACGGCTCCTTGCTTAGTATCGACGCAGTCTGCACCAAGACGCCTGCGATTGGTTGTTGGGCTACGGTTGGTGAATCGGTGTAGCAGAGCAGACCAAGAGCTTTGGTATTTCTATCATGCGCATTGTCGTTGTGACACTACACATGGCCGTCATCCCACAGCAGCCTTCTATCTCAGCAACTACCTCTGGGCAATTCCGACCTCTCTGGAGTGAACGAGCAGCTCCATACTGATTTTTCCACAGTGTTTCCATCTACAGGACCTCTTTTTCACAATACAAAAAAACATAGGGATGGCTTTGCTTAAATGAATTCGACATTGGAGCCAAAGAGGCCGCCGAATCATCACAAATCAGTGCGCTCATCCTGAACATGTTCCACGAGCGTTACTTCCTGGTAGATGTATCCGACTACAAAGGAATTGACGATTTTGCTAATTCACCCAGATTTGATATATGATCAAGATCTGTTCAACTTCACCCGAGGCCGCTTTGTTAACAACGAGAAGCAAGAAATGTCACAGCGCCATATGCACTTCAAAGTTAATGAGCTTGCACACCATGCGGCAGAGGTTTTTGGTGCAAAAACATGCATCAATATTGCAAAGTACCCGGATAGTATGTAAAACAAGAGTATGTTGTCAACTATGGATGATGGCTCTTGGGTAGTGGCCAAAGTTCCGAATCCAAACGCTGGTCTACCTCATTGGACCACTACCAGCGAGGTTGCGACGATGGATTTCGTAAGTTCCACTAGCATGCTTTTGGTTTTGTAAATCGCTTACAGATATCAGGCCCGCAACGTTCTTGACATCCCTGTCCCCAGGCTCATAAGGATCCGGATGGGGCAGAGTACATCATCATGGAAGAGGTCCCAGGGGTACAATTAGAACATATCTGACCGAAAATGAGCATACAAGACAGGTTTGCTATTGTCAGATCAATCGCTAGTTTTCAGCAAGTCTGGACTTCAGTTGTTTTCACAAGATATGGAAGCCTATATTGTTCAAGAGATCTAGAAGATGTGGAAAGTAGCCAGCCACTCTACATGTACGCAAATGGTGGCCATATAACAAAAAAGAGTTTTGCTATTGGCCCGTCCGTAGCACGTGAAACATTTTATAACAGAAGAGCAGCCGTCGATTTCGATAGAGGATCATGTAAGTAGGTTACCGAAAAAAGACAATCTTTCAACTCACAATGATAAAGCGATCCTCTAGAAACATATTATCGCGCCATTGGACAACTTGAAAAGGCGTGCGTTAGTCAGTTTTCCGAATTACCCAAATCTCCGATAACCCTGTGTGGCCTGGGAACCTGTTAGCCGATAAAAGAAAAGAGGGTGAATGCTGTACACTACTACCTCCATGTCAAAAATAGCTCCTCCCCGCGGATCAAACCATATCATCCGCGCATCTTTGGCATGATGACTTGCACGTTGCTAGCATCTTCGCTGATCCCGCCGAGCCTACCAAAGTTGTGGGCCTTATAGACTGGCAGTCAACAGAGATATCTCCGCTCTACTTTCATGCCCGGCAGCCCCAAATCATCAACTATGTCGGACCAACCATTAACGGTCTGCAACGGCTACAGCTTCCGAAGGACTGGGAAGAATTCAAACCTTCCGAAAGAGAGGTGGCTAATACTCTATATCTACCGCAATCGCTCTGTTCGCTGTAACACACTCTCATAAATCACCAAAATTCTCGGCTTTATGCAGCGCTACAATTTCAACATACGGAAAAGTAGTTGCTTCTATTATTGACACATAATCTCCTCGTCGCTGGTGAGGCGCTCTAACTTGCCAAAACAGCTGAACTTGAGCCAACTTGGAGTGAGTTTTCAGGCAAAGGAGATTCAAACTACGTATTCGATTTTTCAGAAAAAAGAGAAGATCTCAAAGGCGGACGCTGAAGGTGCGATACGAGGTATGGAAGCAATGAGTTCAATAAGAGAGAGCTTAGGGGATTTTTTCCCTGAGAAGGGAATCGTGAAGCAAGATAATTATGAAGAAGCACTGGACGCATTGTCAGAGATGAAAGATCGAAAGATCAGTAAATTTGCCAGCAATGCGAAGGAAAGGGAGGCTTGGGAAAAAGAATGGCCGTTTGGAAATTTAAAACAAAACTCTGAAGTGGTGTAAATGCAATACAAATAACCACGTTCGAGTTTTAGTTGTTAAAGCTTAGATAACTTACACTCTAGTTTATCTGTAAGGTGCGGTTAGCCTGTCTACCTACTATTACACTGCCATTCTTCTCGTGGCGCCAACGAGCGCTGGAAAGAGATGATTGCTGGGTATGAAAAGCCTTCATATATGTATCTACCAGCATTATGTAGCTTGAATTAGTGATACCGAGGCAAAAGTTGCTGACGATACCTTGGGCCTTAGATTAAAGATCATAGCCTGGTAGAGGAGAGAAGTTGCAGCGTGCAGGGTCTGGAACAGTGAAGTAGAGAGGTGTACATGTAGTTACGTGATCTAGAAAATCTAGATACAAACTTGCATCAGGTGAGATGCACACCCCTATCTTCAATGTATATTCGCCTCGTGTCATGTGTCTATTGAAGTTGAGTGTCATGAATGGGTTGTCCTGTTTAGACCTATCAACTAAGAACAATTGGCGCCCAGCTTTGTGCAACAACCCCCAAAGGGTGTAAGAATGAAAATTTTCTTGTCTATATCCTGGTTGTACTTTTCAGCTCCTGCAAGCCCGCACTTTGTCGAGCGCCACAAATTGCAATCGCATTCCGTAAGCGTGCTAGCCAGTGTCGAGCCGCAGCCTTGGCAATAAAAGAACGATATATTGCGGAATAGAACGACTTAGGCCAATCGCCCTACATTCTTCATTGCTGTAATCCTTCAAAGCCATTCGTATATTCACCAGACCCATTACCCGGCGATATTAAAACAGACTACAGATCAAGCATTCCGCTTATTGAATATGTAAGCTGTTGATCAAGTTGGGCCTAGGTTGGGTTCAAAATTGGAATGATTTCCCTCTTTGGACATATACATACGATGGCCGTCTATTATCTTCCATTTATATAGCATTCTATGAAGTACTCTTTCTCAGTAATCTCAATCACAACTCAGATTCGCAAAAACCTTTTGCCAAGAATGATCAATATATTCCGTCTCCAAATCCTTTCTTTAGTCCTAACCACGCATGCTACTGGTAATACATTTCTCAAGCGAGCTAGACGGAATTTTATCTCTCAAATGTTGTACCTTAAAAACCCGTTGTACTAACATCGACAGCAAATGTCCTTGCGCCTCCTCCTCCTCCACCTTCTGCTCAGGCTTGTCTCAACTCGTGGACTCGATATTACTCCATCTGGTCAAGTCTAACATCTGAATCAATCACAACCACTCTTACTTCGACTGAGTTCTTTTCCACGTACCCAGCTGTTCCAACTTCAACCTTCTGCGACAACATCCCTCGTCTACTGGGCCGCCAATACAGCGCGTATGTCACAGAATGGTATCCGACAACAGCATACACCACATGGCCAAGCATGAAAAGTCCAACGCCGACCTGCACTGTGAATGGAAATGATTGTGGCAAACTCCAGTCGAGCTGGACTTTGGCTCACACAACAGAAACCCCAATCCCAGACTTCCCGGTCCCATGCAAGGCATACAAGGCCTGCTCTTCTGTTCCCTCCGGCCCATGTAGCTTGGTAGGATCTAGTGTAAAGATTTACTACTGGCCGACACCAGCAACTCAGCCACTCTGCCCTCAAACAAACACATTCATGTCAACCAGTCGTCCAACACCAGCAGCAGCAAAGCCTGCGTCACCTGTAGTGAAGGTGATTGATGGCCTTACAGTTACCTCGCCTTCCATCTACATATCAATCCCAACCTTATACGGGCAGTTACGCGGTGTGCCAACATATAGAGTCACTAGTTGCGGTTCTGAAGTAACGTCTCTTACACTATCAATTCCACCGTCGCCTATTTCCACACTTACTAGACAGTCGGGGGGAAGGAGACCCACATTCGAGAATCCGAAGCCTTTCGCGCTGAGCACGTTGAACTGGCCAGTTTCAGCGACAAAGATCTGCTCGGAAGTGACGATGTGTGAATGGAATAACGATATAAGCACTTGCACCGATGTGCTTAGCACCAGATGTGTGACACCAACGATTAACCCGTATGATTACAACCCACCGCTATTGTTGCCGACTGACTTGGTCAACCTGGCTGCAAAGAAAGAAGGTAGTTACCAAAACTGTGTGGTACGTTTCATTGACACACTGGAAATGAGGTATTTGAATAACATTCTTAGGTTCACCCGGCGGCTGCCGCCGATGTGACTTGGATCCCAATTACGACGCTTGCAGGTGATCCAAGGTATACACAGGGGTGGTCAAGTACTTCTACGATACCTCCAATTACTCTTACGGCAGAACCTACGCCTGAAATCACTTCTACTTGATCATAGTGGGGAAGTTGGCGGCAGACAAGACCATGTTACATTTTGTAGTGATAGCAACGCAAAGAAACAGTATATCTGCTCACCCGCCACGAACCTATAAGAAGCTTTTTGATATCTAGAAAAAAACTACCGAAACCGGTGAACTAATGTATCATTCACGTGACCATGCGAACTACTCGGAAGTACAGATCCGATAAGGTATAGAGTTTTTCACTTGTACAATAAACAAGAAGTCTGGGTAAAAGACATCCCAAGTCATCAAGAACTTCCAAACTCTGTTGGCAATAGTATCGAATTGAATAATCGTACAAGCCCTGTTCCTTCCGGCACGTTTGTATTATTATTATTATTATTATTATTATTGATTAACGTCCTGTCTCAGCTGGTAGGCTATATAAGACGTGCAGG